GATTATGTCTAATTTTGTAAAGAAATGAAAGAACATGCAAAGTTGTTTGCAAATTCAAAAACAATATTACTGAAATTAAATTTTGTACTATATGTTCTTAAATTTTGGGAAGATTTTTTTTATTTTGATTTCTCAAGTTAACATTTAGGATTTGTGTCATGCCAGTAATAATTCTGAGACTGATTGTTGCACATTCAACAATGCTTTGAAAGTATTTTGAATACCATTGTTCTCGCAATATCAGTTGGAAAGATACCAATTAGCAGATAGTTTCACTACTATATTTTAAACTCTTTTATTCTCTAAAATTCATCCATTCCACCTACGTTTTACACCTTGCTGGTAAATCAACTAAGCTTTTTATTTAAACTTGGTGTTTTCGCTATTTCTTTTTGCTGTAGTAGGCTAGAAGGTAGATGCATGTTTTTCTTGTGTATATGTGTTAATATATTGTTTCACAAGAGTATTATGTATTATGCTTGTAAGAGAAAATTGAAATCTACTACACTTGAGATTGCAGGAAATGCTATGATGTTTCATTATTTATTGTAAACAGTAGTGCATTTAAATATAATGCTAGTATCTTTGTACTATTATGTTAGTGAATATCACTCGGTGATGGTACAACACGATTAAGATAATTTGAGTATTTTATGACATTTGCTGCGTCTGCAAATGTGTACATGCATGTTATTGAAAGCAACAAATTCTGTATGAAACTTCTGAGGAAGGTGTATGCTTTTCCAGAAATAATGACACCCAATGTTCAGTGATTGTTAATTAGCTAGTGCCAGGATATGTTTGTAATCTTCATTGCTTACAGACTCTTGGCAGGCAAGATGGTGTAAAACAAGATTGGGTCATCGAGGACACTATAGGAAACTGGTGGAGACCAAACTTTGAACCGCCTCAGTATCCTTATGTTCCACCTCACATCACAAAGCCCAAAGAACACAAGCGGCTATTTCTTGTGCAGTTGGCAGAGAAGGGTAGGAAAGCAAGCCTGTTTGTAGCTCTATCCATATTTAGTTAATAGTGTACGAATGCATATTGTTTCATGTTATGTAATTGTAGCAAATAGTGCCAATCATTATTTACTTTCACCAACAGTCATTAAAAATTTGAGTACAAAAATTCTGTTTGTGTAGTTGTATAATCAAATGCGACATCTTTCACAAAAGAATTAGCTGCAATTTTCACACGAATTGAATTAGATAATTAAGCAAAATATGCATGCTTGTACAGTTTTTGTTACACATTTCTAATTTACTTTCATTCAAATGAATGTAAATGTTTTGTACATTAAAACATCGAAATTAAAGATAACATATGTATTGAATTTCCTTTAAAAAATTGGAAAAGTTTGTGCAGTCTTTGTTCACAATTGTTAATTAATTTTTTATTGTAATACAATAAACAATGAGCAGTCATCATTTGCAGACATGACTCCTATTTCTATTTTGTTTTTATAAATAATTTCTAAATAAAACAGAACATCCATTACAAATCTTGTAATTTATTTTGCAGCTTGTGATGGAGAAGGCGAATTCATCACACGAACACAATTTTTTGGCTCTTTATGTTATGTTCACAAAGAAAGCAGATTGACTATGATAGCAAAGGGATGATGTTTTCCTTAGTTATGAGAATCTTTACATATCACAATATACAAATCAAACCAAGACTTGAATAATTAGGGTTTCTTATGCAGTTTCCAATTAATTTGTATCACTATATTTGACATGTATAAAAGTTGCTGTGCAAATGTATGAATTCATGTACTCAGAAGTACATAACTTTGGACATGTTCCACATGGTCAAATAAATGTGCTAAGGTGATAAACTATACGTGCCTGTACATAGGATAGCCCAATTACTGTACTGAAATGAAGAATGTATTTCAATTCATGTATCGTACAAACAATTGAAAAAGTTGGGATGATAATTCCTTTGTTCTTTATTGTTAATGCAATGTTAACTGTAAGATGTCCAAGAACAATTTGAGGAAAATCCACTGAATAATTACATTTGGTGGGTTTGCCTTTCTAAATTTAATCTGTAACAACACAAAAGTTGATCAAGTGGTATTACTAAGAAAATGTTTCAGTTTTTCTTTTTTCTTTCTTCCCCCCTTTTCTGAAATTTCAATTTGTTAGATCAAGTAGTAAATTTAGAGGTTGATTTCAAATACTGAAATTGCAATTTGTCATAAAAAAAATAATAGTACTTTGATAAAAGTTTTAAGAACATTGTGAAAAAGACCATTTGTTGGAACAAATCTGAGTGTTCAATGAAGTGTAATGAGAGGAGCATTGGACTATTGTTTTCTTCATAACAGTATTAGATAAATGGGAAACTTAAGACATAATTCTACTTTTGAAAAAAGTTTTAAAGTGTTCCTCACATTATGCTAACATGTATGTGTAAATATTTCATCAATTTATTTAAGAAAGCTTTTTTTGTTGGCATCGTTCTTGTAATTTTATGCACAAGATAATTTGTATGGTGTATGGTGTCTTACGAGACAGAAGCCATGTCAATTTGCTATAGTTTGTTCCAGTTGTTAATTTTAACATTTTTGGCGAGATAAGTAATAATGTCCAAAAATTTTCAGGTTAATACATTTATTAATATTGTAGTCAAAACATTTGTTTTTCTTTTTATGTACTTAAATATCTGTTGCAAAAGTTGAATCTTTCACATCATTGTGAAAAGGACTTTTCTATATTTTTTTTCTTCATAAAGTTTTAATGCATCTTGGATGTACCTTTATGGGAGATGAATGTACAAATCATTTTCTTTCTTTGTCATAGCTTGCTTTACTCACACAATGTAAGATTGTCTTCATAGGGATTGTTGAAGTTTGGCCTATATTTTTGTGGTTCATTAACTCTAATGTGCTGATTCAATTATATTTTGGTTATGGACATTTGTATTTTTGTTTGAAGTGATTTTAAGAAACTATTTTTCCAAAAGAATGCCAAACCGTTATTTCAGACATTTATTTTTCTATCTTGCTTCATTGTTGTTGTTTTTTCTTTTTTTTATGTTTTCTCTTAAATGCCGCAGTAAAAAAAATCCACTTGAGTAATTTCATTTTAATGTTTTTTAATTGATGCATTGCAATGTAATACGTTGCTGTTTCTTCCAAGTACAAATGTGTGGTATTTCAGATGCAGTTAGAAAGCGTCAAAAATCACTGAAACAAAGCTAAAATTTTAGTTTTGTATCAAGGTTTGTTTGAGTCATGAATTCGGGTATTAGTATCCAGCCAGTTAAGTTCTTTGCTAATGTAGATAAAACATTAATGAAATGTGCAACAGACAGCATTCTCTACTATATATTGAATTTGTAGTTTTCAATGTTATGTTAAAGTTGGTTTAAGAAAACTGTGGCCGGGTTTTGAGTGACTCCAGTACATTAAAAGTCTGTGCACTGGACTTGCTGATTCATAATTTGTTGAAGATTCAAGAGTTTTATACTTAAAGAAACATGTGTGACTCTTAGTTACCCAAGAAAATAAGTTCTGGAAATTGATTCGTTATTTGCCCACCATTGTTAGGTAACAACAGTGTGCTTGATCTTGGTCAGGATTCTAGATCTTATGAGGATATTTCTGTAATGTTCTTAGGATTGATTACATGTGATGTAACTGAATATTTGGATTTAAACTTTCCTTGGTTTTCATTCACATATGTGGGTGGTTTACAGGGAACCAACTGAAAACACTTTAAATGGATGAAAGATATTTGTATTGTTACAGAATATATGATGTTCCTCACGAAAATAACTGCATACGTTCTGCTTATATTAATATTAATGCTACTTCTTTAATAATTCATACTATCTTTTTGTAAGTGGTTAGTCTGCAACTTTAGTGTTGTACTGCATTATTGTTATCACCTGCACATTTTTCTCAGTAAATTTGTGCAATTTGTAGGTAAATGTTATGGTAAATGTTCAGCTTTCTGAAACATGGGGAAAATTGCCATCTACATCCACTGCTTCTGCTGCAGTAATGTTCTCATTTTATAGCTAATCTTTAAAAGTTTTCCAATTTTTACTTTCTATTAGTGTTGACAAATTTGGTATACTTATCAAGTGTTATTTGATTTCCTGGACAACGTGATTTGTTATTTTGACTGCGGTGGTGAAGTGTCATCATCTTGGCCTTGGTTGTTCTTAACTGAGTAATCTACAAAAATAATTTTTGGAATTAGTCCATTACTTTTAATATAAAAAAAGTACCTTTAAAAAAATCTACAAGATTTCCCTCCCTGACCAGAACAACTTGGTATAAAAAAAAATTATAATATAATAAAACTAATAATAGAAATCACACAAATAGGATGATGACTATTGTTCAGTGCACATTTTCTAGTAATATGGAATGAGGAAGACACAGTTTGATAATTGGCTATTGGATTCGTGCATTTTCTGTGTACTTAATTGAGGGCTTTTGGAGTTACAGTGTTTGTTTAAGTTCATATTTTCAGAGAAAAAAATTGTATGTAAATTACCGAATTAGATCCTTTAAAAGTTTCTTTTAATGGAAAGCTAGAGTGAATAATACTATTTTACACATTGTATTTCTGCCTCAGGAGCTTGTGCTTTTGACATAATCTATTTAACATAAGTGACCTTGCGCTTTTTTCAATTGAATATTAATTGTTTCATTGAACTGAGGCTATTATATAACTATCCTTTCAATCGTTTTTGTTGTTGTAATTATTAATATGATGGAAATAATTCACATATTTAAGATGTTTTATAATAATTTATTAAAAGTTAAATGATTGCTATTCATATATAAAATTGGTAGCAATAGATCTACCTTACTAACTTTGTAACTGGTAACTCAAAACCTGCCGTCTTTAAATAACGTGTGTAAACATTCAATGTAATTGAATATTAGTGCAAATGTACAGTGGATTAGAGAAAGTTGTTCTGTGTACACATTTTTAGTGCAATTTTCCATGTGCAATGCTCTTTAGAGATGGAATCTAATGACACATCTACTTGAAAATGTAAAGGAGTTATATTTTTCGACATTTTAATTTTTAGTGGGGTCAGTCTGCTTTCTTTGATGTTGTGAAGACTGTACATTGAAGAACTACAGAGCCAGTGATAGATTCTAAGTGTGAAAAATAGTAATTTTCTCTTTTGCATTCTACCAATAATTTATCTCCCAGTTAATGTTTTGTTTTTACTAAATATTTTATGAAGATTTTTTATTTTGTATTTTTATCTAGTTAATGAATTTTACTGTGTTTTAAAGACTATTCATGATCCAAGTACTGTTTAAGAATAAATTGGGCCGTGTAATATGTAACTCAGCAGTGTTTCATTATATAGTTTGAAGTTTACTTGATTTTCCATGTCAATTATTACCCCAAAACTGAAAGAAAACTAAAAATGTGTGCCTTATTGCACAATTGTACCTAAATATTTGAGACAATGTTTACAGTGCAATTGGTGACTGAAAAAATTGATTCACACATTTACATGTAATGTAAACACATTGTATATTAATGGTGCAATATTTATTAAGAACAGAATTATTTATTTTCTTTTCTCACATATGTACTAGCAGTGGTAATGACATACAAGTATGTTGTGTGAACTACATACTGGCACCTTCACATTGTGTGGAGACATATTTTGATGTAAAATGTGTATTTGTTCTAAAACTGTAAACTGTTGACTATAATGGCTCATTTTTTGTGAACTTTTATGAAATATAAATAAAGTTTCAAATACAGCAGGTTTTAATTGGCTGTTTTCTTGCTAATAACTAATGTCAATTTTTTGTAAAGTTCTCTTATTGATATAGTATTATGTAAGTAGTGGTCCTTTTTTAAATAATGTGTATTGAATTGTCTTTGTCGTCAGTTGTGCATTTTCTGTAAGTAAAATTTCAGAGTATTAGTTATTCCATACTTATCATGACAGTGAATTTAATATTGTGTTTGATTTTCAGCATTGTTTGCAGTTCCAAAGAACTACAAGTTAGTAGCAGCACCATTATTTGAACTCTATGACAATGCACAAGGATATGGACCAATCATTTCTTCTCTTCCACAAGCTTTGTGCAGGTACAAATGTATTTCTAATGCTTATTCATTTGCTTAACCCTCTGCATAACAGGCGGGGTACACGTGTATCCCATATAAATATTATGCAAGATTTCTTTCATTATTTTGAGCAGTTAATACGTAAGAAGGACAAATTTAATAGAATGAAGTAACATTATTCCTACTATTTCTTTTATTACACCAATAAACTTTATTAAAATACTTCTTTAGAGGTTATTTGTGTTTGCAGCAACTGATGAATATTTTTATTGTTTTTGTATATGAATGTTCATTACATATAAATGACAAATACTAACTCATCTTGTTCCACTCTTTCTATTTCTTGTTTCTAATAATTCATAAGGAATAAATGTTGGTGAAAAGGAATACCAAGCAGGGTACAAATGTACCCCAGTGCTTATTTTTACACCTCATAAATCTTACTTTTTTTAAGACGTGATTATCAACGGAAGTGTTTCGAACAAAATAACAAAAATTACAATATAAGCAAAACATACAAAAGTTAAACAGTGACTTTGGGGTTCACATGTATCCCGCTTTGTAAGCAAAGGGTTAAGATATTTATTTTTATAATGATGCAATTTTGTTATGTTAAAAACCATTCCCATGTCGTTTCTATATACAGTAGAACCTCGGTAATCCGAACTAATTGGGGGTGTGGTCTGTGCGGATTCAGATTATCTGAAAAAAATGTACATTAATTTACAAATATGTAGCGTGTGTATGTAGCACAAATACATTACGTGGCATGCAATTTGAGAAAATGTCTACATAGCATAGCAATTGCATTATCAAGCAGATTCAGTTCCTTATGACAAAAGAGGATAATCAATTTTGCTAGTTCCTCTAAGTGAAAATTAATGCTACTGAGCATGTGATATACAGAGTAGCTACCAGTGCAATAAAGGTTTCATTTTGACAACTTGAGTTTCAATATTTAATTGTTCAATTCCAAAGTAATTATAAAATCCTTTCTTTACACTACAAATGAGCATTTTATTTAATTTGTTTATTTTCCAACATCCCAAATTTTGTTCGGAGTATCCAAAATTTCGGATAAGGGAGGTTCTACTGTACTTTTGAGTGTGTTTGTAGCATACATATTTTCAATTTGCTCAATGCAGATTATGCTTATTAAAGGAAACAAGTTTACTAGGACATGAAACAATTCAACGAATTCTTTGAAAATTAATTTTATTAATGTTACATCTAAATAAATCTTAACTCCATTTAATATTCAATAACAAAACTTCAATAATCTTTTTTGGGAGGAATATTGCTGTTTACTCAATGGAATCCTTGTTCATTTAAAGTATCATGTATTTTGTTAAATATTATAATATACTTATTTCAAATCAATAAATAATTTTTTTTAAGAAATGCTCTCCCCTCTGGGAACAGCACTCATTTATCTTGATAACTCTAACTCTGTATAACGTGTGCCAAGACCAGGACTACCGTGGCAGTTCTAATACGAATGGTAGTTATTTCAAAATCTTTAGGATATGTGTATGTGGTGTTTCCTTTTGTTGTTTTTTTCCTTTTCTCTCTCTTATGAGTCCGATGGTTATGACCTCTCAGAATAATCTGTTATTGATTTTAATAGTTTTTTTGAGTTTTATATTTCTTTATCAATCAAAGCCTCATTATTGGATTAAGTTATTTATTTTTCAAGTGTTGAAAATAATCCATTATTTGCAAGTTGATTGATAATTCTCAAATGTAGTAGTATGAGTGTACAACTACAAATGGGCACATCATCTTTTGGCCATTTATAATATACTTTCATTGTATCCAATCATCATTTGAACATATTTTCTAATTGTATGTCTAAATTAATCGTATTAAATAAACTTTGAGAATTCCTTTTATTATATCGAAAATAGTAATGAACCTTTGAATTGACTATGAACTTGTAAAGAAACACTGTCTGCAGGCAGTCATATAAGATACGAAACATATTATAGATATTAATATATAAGAAAGAAAGGAAAAATGAATGACAATAAAGAAACATTACTCAATTATAAGCCTTAGATTATTCCCAACGCAGAATTTGGCCTCATAATTTGGCTCATTGTTTTTTAATTATTATTATTATTAAGATTAAGATTAGAAAGTTCGTAACTAGAAATTTGAGAATCCTTCATTAATAACACATAATTTTTTGTACTGAAGTATATAAGTCATCATAAATCAAAACTGTAATGAATATTGTAGTAGAAGAAAAGTTATTGAAAACCCCTAATATTCTGGATAATTAGCAGGCCTATTTGGGTAATTAACATAACAGTAAAGCTAGGTTCAGTAGTCAATGGTTACAAGGAAAGTTTTTCTAAACACTGTGGTTTACAAGGAAAAACTTTTTCTTTAAGTGTTGTATGTACCTAAGCCCCAAGTTTTCGACCTCCCAGATCCTGTGCTAACTCCGAGAGGCCTGAAAAACTGGTGTTTTTTTCAGACTTGTTTTGGTTGTTTCTCTCTTTCTCTCTCTCTCTCTCTCTCTCTCTCTCTCTCTCTCTCTCTCTCTCTCTCTCTCTCTCTCTCTCTTGCACACGCACACACGTGCGCGCACACACCCACATACACATACATTTTTTATATGTATATGTAAAATATTTATTTTTGACAACGGTACATGCCATTTATGAGGCAATGTTTACATTGGTGATGAGATAATAATACAAACTTATATATTCGCAGACTTGTTTGAACATTGAAAAATATGTTTTTTCAAATATCTGTAGCTTGCATGGTAATTGGTTAAAAAAATTGTTTTGTACAAAAATTGTAGGGAATTTTATCCTCTTTAAATTTGATATGGGATTTTTCTACAGAACTTCAGAGATTTTTCTACAGGCCTCCCGGAGTTCATGCAGTCTGAGAAGTGGAAAACTTGGGGTTTTAAATGGTGCCTAGATACATACAACATATTCAAAGAAAAAGTTATTAGTGTCCTCTTTCCAGACAAAATGTACATACAGTGGATCAACTAAAATTTTAACTCGCAAAATTACTGTCATCAGGAAATAAAAATTTTAACTAAATTGCCCAGTGCTTTATATTGAAATATTATTTATTTTCACATTTATTCAACATTTATATAGTGTAAAGTACATTCTAAAGATCTCATGGACTGGTGTGTGTCCAACAGGCTTATTGCAAAATAAGACTTTGGATGTGACCTAATTGAAACCCTTTATAAAAGTAAATTTGTACTGTATTTAAGAAGTATTTTTTGTGTGTTTAATCTTTATATAAATTTCTTATGTTATGACTTTGATATCTCTTTCCAAGCAGCATTTTTTGTTTGTTTTGTTTCAGATTTAACTTCATATACATGTGAAGACGTAATACATAGAAACTGATTCCGGATCAAGTTGTGAGAATGTGATGACGTGTGTGAGATATACTATGTTCTGTCACAAGATACGTCGTGTTTTTATGACATTAGCAATGCATATGGAAGTGTCACATTGCGAAATACATTTCAGGCACAATATGACATGGGTTGTATTGTTTGAATTCAATCAAAAGTGACCTTTAATATTATGATTTCTAGTGACTTCTATCATAGTTGTATGTCCGAATTTTTTATTTTATTATTATTATTATAATTATTATTATTTTAAAATTTAATTAGTACAGAAAAGAAGTCTGTCGAATAAGAATTTTTATAAATACATGTAAAATTGTATTATTTGTAAATCCTTACCCTTTTCCTAGGATCTTCTGTGCCTCTCATCTAAATTGCAATGGACAAGGAGTGCAATTTAAAACAATTAAACTGTAGAGAAAAATATTAATATAGTGTGTATGCTGTGTCTAGTGATTGTATTGTGCCCTTTTCAAATTTTTTAAGATCTGTCTTGGCCTGTTTATACAGTAAAGCCATGCTTTTACATTCCCGAATTTTGTGTTTTTCTGCCATTTACATAAACTTTTACCAGCCCCATCAGTTCCCATAAGTTCACAATGTAAAAAAATGTCCCTCTTAGAGTTTTCAAATTAAATTTTCTGGCAATTTTTACTTTTTTCCACTGACTGCGCCAACTCAAAGATCAGGATGGTTAATAATGTTTCTTCACACCAAGCTCAAGAAATACTTGACAGTGATCAGAGAAAGTAAGAATTACTCAATATTGGCTTGAGTTAAGTATTATTACTTTAAATTCTATTTTTGAAAAAAGGGAAAAATGCTTGTGTTGTAGGTTGCGCATGTTTTAGGAATATTTCATGTGTTGTCGACACAACTTGAAAGTGTGCCCTTCACTTCCTCTTTTGCTATTGTCCCTGTTAGTTACAAAGAAGAATGTGCAATTCCGCAGTGACAAGTGGCAATTGATGATTTTTATTTCCTTATTACGCAAGTTTCTTAATTTTTTGAATTCTTTTTTGAACAATTATCTTGTTGAAGCATCACAGGTAGTGAGTGCCATTTCCCTTCCTCAAGCGTGTTCCATTTAAGGTACAGTTTAAAAAATATATTCTGCTCGTTGACCAGAAAATTGTTTGCATTGATCTTTGGTCTAGAAAAAAATAATTAAAAAATGGTAGAATTAGTGAATTTTGAATTACAGAGCCTAAGAAACCAATAATTTTTCATTAAAGATTAACATTGCCAGTAAGCATACAGAATTAATGATTTTATTGTATGTTAGCAAAAGTAATTCTCAATCACTTACGGTTTCCCACAATGTACACCATTTTTTTCTAGGACGCTTGAAAAGGGGGTAAAAGACGTGGTTTAATATATCTTGGTATCTGGGAATACGTACAGGCACCTAAGCTTGAGTGTTTCATTAAATTGCTTCATAATACAGAAAATTTTTGTATCTTAATTCAATAAAAAAAAGTTTAGTTAAAATGTTGAATTTATGACAATGTCAGCTTTTACATAATGTAGAATTGCTGTTCCAGTTTTTGCAATTTAAATGTTATTTAGATGTATGTAATATACATATTTATATTTACTCTTGTGAATCATAATTGCATCCCAATTTTTTTACATTAATTCAAAATTAGATACAAAAGAATAATCCATGGGTATACTGCAGGCCATAGGTTTACACCATGTTGCTCCCTTAGGTAGTAGATTTAGATTTATTCAGTCAAAAAAAATAGTAAAAACTGTATGTGACGTAGAAGGATAAGATTACCTGCACACGTTTTCTCGAGTTCCAGAATCCCTTCCTGTCATTTTAACTATAAATAATTGAAAGATGAATAAAAGTTAACATAAATAAAAATAAATTTTAAAAATCGCAAGATTAGCAATATTTGATAAAGTCATTGTCGTATCTGATTCATAGGTAACTTATTTGCATCAGTATATATATAATTTTCAGAAGTCGTCACATCCCAAGTCATTTGCTGTGAATCAGATATGAGAGAATAATTGCAGTATATACTACTGTGGATTTGATAGTTAACATAAAATTGCTATCTGAGAGTAATAATGCTAAAGCAGTGACAAACCATTGGCTGTGAAACAAGGGAGGTGAAGTACCAAAGGGCATGTAGTATTTCAGTGATATTAACCAATGAGAGTAGCCACCACCTCTGCCATATAGTAGGAACCTACTGCCTTACCCACTTTCACTCCACAGATAACAGCATCCCACATCCTATAAACAAATATGCAGCTTAAGTTGCTGACAGACATTTTTTCCTACAGTAAGTGCCAATACTGATGATATTTGGTAAAACTCATATTTTAACCTTGTAAATTTTGTGAAGTCAAATACTGCAGATCCACACTTATCTGCACCAAGAAAAGATAGCACGAAGATATATAAAATGTGGTGAGCTGATGCACATGTGCCCCCCTCCAGATACCCCAACCCATTAGGTAGCTTGGGGAGTAAGTGAAGTGCAGCGAATTATAACATAGTTTTGTGATTTTAAACTCCTTTATATGTGATTAATTGAGCAGTGTTGTGAGATCTTTTTGTTTCAGAATTAAATCAGTAATAGATTTTATACCTACATGATTGTGCTTTCAGTTTTACTGTCTAGCTGCAGGTCAGTAATCTGTAGTCAGTTAAATTGTGAAGTAGGCATAAGGTAAAATAAATCTCATTTGCTTATATAAATCCAAAAAGTATTTAACTCTGAAATAAGAGGCATTTAACAAATTGAGAAGTCACTTTACAGTCCCATACTAAGCTATAAATGAAAAATTTGCTCTTTTATGTTACAGATGTACTATGCTAAAAGTTAAACAATATTAATGCTTGCTGTTGGTGAATATTATATTTTCTGTCTCCCTTTGTCTTTTCACATTATTGTCATGGCTTCTAATTAAGTTTTGCAACCATATGTACATTCCTATGTGCACTAGACAGAAGAACATTAAAATATAAATTTGGAAATTATTGTGACCCTGAGCAACCTTTTGAAAAAGTGTCACTTTCACAAAAACTTGAATCTGCCCTTGGAAAATAAAATTCAATCTCCATGACTGGTAGATCGAAGTAATTCCTCAGGAGGGCTATCTAGTTTTCTTGATGACAAAAATTGAATCCAGTCTTGCATTACACTGTCAATTAAATTTCTTTAGTTGCCAAATTGAGGTAAATTGGTGATCAAATCTAAATTCTCTTTAAAAAAAATTTGAGTCCTTCAAATGTAATTGAATTGTCAAACGTTTTTTTCCACATAGTTCTATTATTTTACAAATTATTTACAGGGATATAGTGAATGCATCAACTCCCAACAAACAGCACATTTCTCAGCCTGTAGAAATTCCATAGCTAAAGTTTGGTTGCTGATCAAGAATATTTTACTCACAGTAAATACATTCCTGAGATTCAGCCATTCCCAAAATATTTTTTATTGTCATTTGTCTTCCTCTTGAGCTTGAGCTTTTTCAACCTCTTTCAAAGGTTGAAGACAGAATTTCCCAGTAATATTCAGTTTCAACCAGAATTTTGTTATCAAGGGCAGTAGATTTGCCATTTGAACCACCAATACCATGGAAGTATACAAAAAAATTTCAAAATTGCCCTTATTTATATATTATCGCAATAATTCATTTCACTTTTAGGTTAAAACAATGGTTATTTCCAGTCTCTTCAACAGCTAGTCATTACTCCCGTAAGTGTACTACACTTTTTATAGCAGGATGTGGCTGTGATCCCCGCTTGACGGCGAGGTCCGACGCCGACCTACATGTCAGCTACCAGTTTTCCGCAACCGAGTATCTCACCAGCGGAGCACCGCCCCATCTAGGACAAGGTCAAAGTTCCCGACTTGTCTCTCGGACATGTGGGGTAGTGTAGTTCGTGTAACGTAAGGATAGGACAAAGAATGGGAAGGAAAGATCGCGCGCTGTCCGTGGCCTATTTTTAGAATATTGCTCCAGCATTCGCCTGGTATTGGTCGGAGAAACTACGTAAAACTATCGATCAGAGTAGTCGGTCGCTAGAATTTTTCTCCCAACAGCAGTTGAATTCGACCTAATGTCGAAAGTCTGCCATGGTCGGGACTCGGAACTCTGGGACTTCCATGTGATTTGCACAAGCCATCTATTTAGGCGCCCATAGCAAGCAAAGAATTTGCACCCATATCTGTATACTTCAAACTATGGTTGTTGTAGTGGGTAAAAAAATAGTATAAGATTCTGATTATTTTCAAAAAGTCTCATAAACAATTTTTCTCGCAAAAAATTTTACTGTTCTGAATTTTAGAAACTGGGATAACAAAGTGAAAATGACAATTCAGGTTTATTAATATTTATTTTCATTCGTTATAAAAATGTAATGGCAAAAATGTTATTACTTTAAAATGAATTATCTACCCAATGTACACTGACAAAACTAAATTTATTTAGATTACTACATAAACTAAAATTTCAACTATACGAAAGAACACTTAAAGAACGTGTACATGGTACCTAAATAACCGTGGTAATCATAAATGAGAAAACATTTTAATTTCTGTGTAGACTAGAAATGCGGTTTTCTTGGGTTTACTTGATGCAAATTCGTCGATAACAGAATCAAAGTCAGTTTCCTCGTTTTCTTCTGTTTCAACACCCAATAGAGCAAGATCACAAAATTGTTCTTGTCCTAATGAAGTGCGTTTTTCTCCCATAGGATAGCATCGGTTTGAACTTTCTTTCTCACAGCTTGCAATAGCAGCAAAAGTTATAATTTAAATACCAATACGTACATTCGGAAAAACACTTTCGTCTCCATATTCAACAATGAATTGTAGAAGTTCATCAGGCCTTGATATTTAATTATTAGATCGAACTGAGAAAAGCATTCTGCAATCAGTAAGTTCTTCGTATAGTTGATCTCCATTAACATCACTGCGTTAGAACGTGGCGAAGTTTAAACACTTTATTTTGCTAACTTTTGTAACCGCGCTATAGCACAGACGCTCAATGTCTAGTAAGAAGCTATATTTTTCATTTCATTAGTATATTGTAAGCAATTCTCGTTTGCGGGTGAACCTGACATTCATTTCGCTATAAAGATGGTCAACCGTTTCCTTCATGACTCAATTTCTTGTTTGACTGTTACAGCAACGTCAACCGATGATTCTCCAGCCAGTTTTACTTTCTCACATTTACTTCGTAAGAAGAGGTAGTATTTTCAGCAGAAAAACTTATTTTCGGACCCGAAGTGCATAAATCCTGTTTCTATATATAGTAAATTTCATCCTCTAATACATGGTCTAGCCAGAATCCATGTTTTGTGTGTCCTTGATACGGAAAAATCAATTGGAAGTCAAACTTCTGTCTGTCCAACTGTGGCCTGCGCTAGCACCTTAATCATTCAGCCTATTTTCTCCAAAATTGATATTTTGATTTTTGAGGGTACTGTACATGAAGTCTCAACATTTCAAAATTTTATCCCATAGCTCTCAATGGTTTATTTAACTATGCCCTCCGATGGTGTAAAAGACGAGAATGGTGCCGATCTCATGTTCATTAAAACCCCTGATTTTCCAAAAATTGCAAAACTGCAATTTATCGGACGTCTTGCTACATCTGCAATATAGAAATTAGAATTTTTTCCCTTAAAAATGAAATGTCTTGAAGACAGACCTTGAGGTAAGGTCAAGTAAATTCTTCGAAATTATAAGTAGTTAACGTGACACGGCGCGAAATATAGGCAATTTGAAAAACCTTTTTCTCAAAAACGCTCCAATTTTTTTCTTTAAAATTTCTCCTCGTGTATCAAGGGCCGGTAAAAAATGTGGTGCTAGTTCCATTTTCGAAAATTGCAAAATGTTCAATATTTAAAAACTACAATATGGCAGATATCGATTTTTGCGTTAATCAAAGCCTGTTCTTAGAAACCAGCTCTAAAAAAAAACAAGTACAAGTTTTTGAAAAAAGGGTAGTTTTTCCGTAATTTGGGCTACCGCAGGGCTGAAGCTCTCGAAGTAGCTGCTGAAAGTCCCCATGTAACACCTCATTTTTTGAAGGATATTGTTCCTGGAGTTAACTTTCGCAGCAAGGTTTGTTGGGTGCTTTTTCTATAAGAGAGAGTCCTATCCAGTGTGACACCTAGGTATTTGGGATTTTTGTTATATTTCAGTAATTTTCCTTCGAAGAATATTTTAATCTCCTTGTTGGCCAATGTATTATTTAAATGGAAACATAAAGCTTCAGTTTTTGCTGCGCTCGGGTGGAGACTCCACTTGTGGAAATATTGTCCCAAGCGTTTAAATCTATTTCGATGTGTCTATTGACCAGGAGATCCTCAGGAATGTCTGGTCGCCAGTATGTGTTAGTTCACTTGGCTCACGAGAAACGCTTTCGTTTTTCCGCCCAGCAACACCAGAATCTTGTTGGGTTGTGAGGAACGCTTCATGGTATAGTACTTAACACTGAAAATAGACACGTTTCATGATAAAAAATTATTTAAAAATTGTAATCGTTAAATCAAATTTTATGATCTGATACAACATTGGAGGTTGTTATTTGCGTAAATCATATGAAAAACATTAGTATATAATATATGTGCAAACTTCAAAAGTTACAATAAAATTGTACGAAAAATGCACAATTCGTCAGCCATTGAAACTAAACTTAATTCTTCTTTCTGGAACATTTTCTAAATTAAGTTTTAAGTCAAGCATTAGTTTTGAAGAAGTACTATATTAAAAAAAATATATTGACTTAGAGTAATAAATAATACTAGCAGAACCCGACAGACGATGTTTTGCCATTCAGTTCCCACTTTCTCCTTCCCCTCCCTCTGTGTCTTTTTCTCCATCTCCCCCTCTCCGCGTCTTTGTCACTGTCTCAGTCTGTCTGTCTTTCCGTGTCTCTCTCAGTCCCTGTCTCCGTGTCTCTGACCTCGACCTCGCCCTGCGTCACACAACGCTGAGCAACAATGAAGGCCAGGTGGAGCGCAGTTTGAATGGAAATTGAAATAAAATGAAGCTCAGTTTTGTTCTGCAGCGATATCTACTGGAGTTATTACAAAATTAACAGCAAATAAACCTTCTGGATGAAGAAACACGTACATGTGCCAACTTTCATGGAGATCGGTCACACGATGTCAAAGTTCACTGCTGTTATATGTACGAATGTCCATTATAGAAAGAAGATATATATATATATATATTATATATACATACATA